CCCCAAAACCCCAAAACCCCAAAACCCCAAAACCCCGGTTGAGGGAGTGGAAATTGAAATTGTGGATGTTTAGAGTTAGCTGTAAATTTCGTGAATTTGGCTGTAGATTTTGTCCTGGACTTTGGAGGATTCGATTTCGATCTTGATTTTGGAGAGTTTGCGGTTAGTGTTTTCTACGGTTAAGACAAGCATTCCTTTTTGTTTTTCAACCTTTTTCAAGCACTGGAGAGGGATACACATGCTGACACCTTTTTCATTCATCAATTCTGTGCTAGAGTGGGATTTGTTGACTGCTTCATTGCTTGTCTTAATCTTAAACATTTTTTTTTCAAAAAGAACAAGAATTTGTATCGGGTCTCTAGACACTATATTCGCATCGACAAATGGATCACTCATTGTTAACCTTTTGTTTTTGAATAAGTAAGCAAAAGCAAAAGAATGAAGAAAATCAAACGGCTTATATATTCTCTCTTTTGAGTAGAACACACGAGGAAGCCTTAATCTTTCCTTATTAAATATTTTCTCATCTTCATTCGTTGCATGATTTTTAATTCCTTCAGAAGTTTTTGAGACAAAATCCATTGCTCCTGCTACTGGTTTAGCCACAAGTCCAGTCACTCCTTTAAGAGTTCCTGAAAAGAACCCTTTAATACCTTTACTCTTGGCTCCTTTTGTTGGCATTTTCCAGATTCCAGTGACACCTGAGCCAAATGATTTTGCTGCACTACTCAGCCCCATTCCAATGCCTTCAATAGTATTCTTGGGTTTCTCATTATGAGCGTTTTTCTCTCTATCATTCATATAGTCCTTATCATTTGCGATAATAAGTGCTCCTTTTGAGAGTGAACCAAATATTCCTGAGGCACTGCTGAAAGTTCCTTTCACAGTATGCTGTAACAAAGACTTTGTTCCTTTAGCAATTCCCTTTCCTCCTTCAAGAGGTCCTTCAACAAATCCTTCAACAGGCTTGTAGAAAAAGTCTCTAAATCCTGTAGATACATTGTTAACTAGCTGAATTGGGTTGCCAATAAGGTTAGATGCTCCTAAGACTCTGAATAAATTTGTCTTTAACCTACTCATGTACCTGTCTTTGAGCACATAGATTATATCATTAAGGTTTCCAACCATGTCTCTTACCTCAACAGCATTAATGTTAATTGGAGCATTTTCAATGGTTGTAAGTACCACTCCAAATCTGCTCAAAAAGTTCTTAAAACCAACATTCCCCTCTGTCTGTTGCATTGCTGGGAAGAAAGAAATGATCAAATCCAAAGGTGAAGAATTGTATTGCTTAACATATACATGCTGGTTAGCTCCTACTAAGTCCTCTGTCTTCCAATCAGGAACCTTGTTTATCAAGCTTCTAGCTACTTTCTGAGTTGTACCTTCTCCTTGAGTGATTGATAATCTCATAGTCTCTGTATTTTCGTCATATCAATCAACAAAGATCTCACTGATTCCAGTAAAGGTGGTTTTTGTTGTATCCATGATTGAATTCAAGAGGAAAAACATGTTCATCATCAGCTGACCATCCACACAAATGATGATCCTTTGAATCAGGAATTCAATCTTCTTGAAGAAAACTACATCAGGGATATCTTTACAATAGACAATATTTAAGTTGAAGAAAGGTTGAGAAAGCTCAACTTCTTTATCTTTGTTCATCTTACTTTTCTGACTGAACAGAGTCACAGGATAAGCAGTCTCGATAGAAAATTGATTATCAAATTGCATGTTTGAAACTCTCAATTGAATCTTCCTTTCAGTCTTGAAATCAATTAGAATAGCTTGGATATCTTTTAAACTTCAGTAAAGAACCTCTCTCCTTTCGTTGACTGTGTCTGGATTTCCATCGCTAATGAGAGAAATTCCAAGCCCTTCAAGTTCAAGATTTACAATAAGATCAGGAGTATTGTACTCAGTTTCGTCTTCTTCCTCCATTATTATTGTATCATCAAAGACAAGACATTTTGTATATCCATTAGTATGAGTACGGTAGTTTAAGACTCTACCAACATCTGTAAATCCGTTATCCTCAATCTCCTCATCGCTGAACATATTTCTAAGGTCATACCGATGCTCATCAGATTTCTCCATGACGTCGAACTCGACCTCGATTCTTCAGAGTCTCGTTTTCTTTTCTTTACTTTCGATCCATGCCTCTACATCAACTTTGTGTTTATCGTAGAGCTTGTCCCATGCAAATCTCTTAGATTCCTCAAATTGACAGAATTCATAAGTCTTTGCTCCTTTCTGTCTGTATTTAAGGATCACATCTCTTGCTTTGTTCTCAATTTTATAAAGAGGGAACCTATCTTCCTCCTCTTGGATGGTAATGAAAATGATGCTCTATGGGTTAGGAGTGGGTGCTTACATTTTGAATTCATCTGTCGATCTTCCAGTAGAAATAATACCCAGGTTTGTTAGCATTCAGGTTTCTCACACTTGTAGTCCCCATTTCTTCAAGAATAAAGGGAGAACTCCACTTCCACTCTTTGAGAGGGTCTTCTGTTGAACTGTCTAACATTTTGATTAATGCTTTCTTTTCAGCTTTAGCTTCGAGCCAGGAAAAGATTTCTCGAGAGCGACTATCGATGATAGTGAAATCCTGTTCTAGCCCCTTCTGCGTGAGAAGCAATTTCTTATCAGTTTTATTGATGATCACATATTTTGGCAAAATTGTGATAATTTTAGTATAAAGTGGCATATTTAAGTCTAAAATAGTTACACATCTGAAATACCAATAAGAGAAAGCCTGGTGGTGTACACAAGTTCAGAGAGCTCCTTTGCCACATTTTTGGCAATGCTGAATTGCCCGTTGATACTTCCTCCTTCAACATTGATTTCTTCTGAAACAGACTTTTCATCAAGTAAGAAGCATCAGGAATCGATATCAGAAGCAAGGGTGATATTTTTCCAAGATTTTTGACCTGGAACGAAAATTCCCTCTTTGTTCTATACTATTCAAACAAAGCTCTTACCTTTGTGGTATCAAAAATTTTTAGTGGAAAGGAACTTGCATTCACAAAGCAAGTTTTTACATAAAATGTAATAAATCACCCAGCTTTGCTATCAGAGAAGTTGGCGTACAGATTGAGAACAGAACTGGGAGACCCCAGGGCACTTAATTTAAAGCTAGTATCATAAGATTTCTTCAAGAACTTAATCTGTATTGGATCTTCGTCATATCCTTCAAGTTTGACAGATACTTGAATTATCTCATCAGGAGAGTAGTAATTCAGGTGTTTCTCTTCAGATTTTTCAAGTACATATTTTTCACCAATATTCAAAAGCTTTAGAGTCATTTTAACTGGGAGACCATTCTTGATCCTGATGGGAGGAATCAGATGTATATCGAAGCATTTTTGATGAGTCTTGTTAATCTCCTTTCTTACCATTGTAAACGTGTCCCCTGATTTGATATAATTCTAAAGAGTTAAAACATCCTGCTTACAGTGTAATTGACAGCAGTGTTGTAAATAAGCCTCTTGGCAGGAATAAAGTTTGAAAAATTATCATCATCTGTCTTATTTTAAAGAGATTTTAGAGCTCTTCATACTGCTAGGGAAAGGGATCTTTTCACCAGGTTTCAGGACAACCTGCTTTGAATCTTTTCTATTCGTAGGGTTCATGATGACAACATCATAAGAAAATTGTGTTGAATTAACTAGGAGATTTTGGGTTCTCAGAGTAAGCACTTTATTGGTCTCTACAACCTTAGTCTCAAAGAATATGAAGTCATTGATTTCCTAAAACTGAGCAAGTGGGCTTACATCAATATCTGTCAATTTGTGTATTCCTGTATTGAGCTTATTGAGAGAGATTTCTAAAAATTAAAAGAATAAACATACTTTCTATAGGTAGGTGGATTCCTTCGAATAGAATCTTAACATTATCATTCATTTTTGAACTCTCAATACTGTAGTTCTTAATAGTCTGCTTTTCATAACTAATGGCGATCTTTGTAGTGGTACAGTCCTTCAGAATATACTTGTCTTTCTTCTTATCAAACAGAGTTTCAACAAAGAGCATACTTCCTGTATAATTCTCAATTTTGTAAGGTGTTGCAGATTCCACTGCATTCTGGGACTCGATAAAATCTGATAAAGAGTCTTTACTCCCTGAGGAGAATTCTTCGGAAATAGCTTCTTTAGCTTCTTCTGGAAGTAAATCTTTCTTCAACTCTTCCTTCTTTGGGAACTGTAGGTGGAAGTCTCGATTAGCTTTATCCCATGACTTCTTGAAATTGGTGATAATTGTCACAAAGTCTGGTGAGATATTCAGATTAAGAGAGTCTTTTCCTTTGACTTGGATGACACTGTTTGTAAGTTGCTTGTCATACTGAAATTCAATCTCTAACCCTTCAATGAAAGGCTCCCAATAACATGTTTTGATGTTGTAGTAATCGAAAGAAGCGTCTACTAATGCTTGGGATTGGAAGCTTCCGTCTTTAAGATTTTCCTTGCTATAGTTTGTATCTTTGAGACTTCAGCAAATCACTGGGTATGAATTATCTCCGTGATCATTGATGAAGAAAATATCAAGGCCTTGTAAAAAGAAGGTGAAGGTATCTTTTCCAATATTATTCTCCTCTTCAGGTGAGAATTTAACCTCTTCTAACTCTTGATCGAAGTACTCCTATTATATGAAAATTTCAATCACTTACAGGATCATTTTTACTTTTTGCCATGTTAGCATTTTCAGCTTTAGAAGCAACGGCAAGTTTATCCTCTTCTTGATCTGCTACATTAGTCTGGTCAGTGATCTTCTTATTTGGAACTTTATTGTACCTGTTTGCGAAGACTTCGTACGTCTCCTTAAAAATCCCTGTTCTTTCAAAAATCTGGCTGTTGCCAAACAAGGATTCCTTTGACTCGTGGGAGCTGCTTGAGGCTGGCTCTTGGCTGTAATGAATATCTTTCTTAATCTTATCAGTGTACTTCTCTTTTAGAATACTTGAAGTATTTTGGATCATGGAATACAAACTGACTATCTGGTTTATGGACATGTTGATAGCCACAGGCTCCACAAGAATGTCCGTGCTGAGGTTGTATCTGAAGCTATCAGTCTCATAGCGTTCTAAGAGTGTTTTTGAAGAGTATCATAATGCGAATGGCTTGATAATTTCCCTCTTCTTGATCTTTTTCCACTTTATATCCCCTGCAAGATCTTCGTATTTGCAGAAGTAAGGATTGCAGTTAGTGATGTTAAATCTGATGCTTTTAGCAATATGACTATTTCCTTGAGTATTTGTTTTTGATAAAATCTGATTTAGTAAGTCGTTTTTCAAAGATTTTATGTGGTATCTGTTGTAAACAAAGCATAAGTCAAGATTTATCGCGATTACATTTTTAAGATCGTCCAAACAGATCAAAGATTTATTCAAGTTTAGCTCAAAGGAGAGTCTTGGGGCATTTTCAACATCGTCATCAACTAAATATTATATGGAAAACTTACATTGATTTGGAAGGTCTCTATCATTGGGGTCATATTTTGGCAATCCCTCAGTGAAGAAATGAAATAGAAGCATAAAAATATGAATCTTAGTGAATCACTTGAGCTCTTGTAGCTCAGTAGTAATTTCTTTCTCTCCATTATGCATTTTTACAATAGTGTTCATTCATTTAATCACCTTCTGATCTAGGCTGATTTTCTTTAATTCTGCATTACTCTTATCAAATTTATAGAATGATTCATCAGTATAAACAGAGTTACTTCATCCATAAGGGCCAATAATGACTTGTTTATGCCCAGTCTCTTTTGACTCCTCACCAAAGGCCCAAATTGCAGATGCTGAGAGGTCAAATAGGTTTTTGGTACTCACAAACCTATCGATATCAATTTTAAAGTCCTGACAGACAATCTCTGCAAGGAATTCTTTCAAGAAATAGCAACTGAGAGAGATGCATGGCATTTTAATCTTGATTGCCATTATTTTATGATCTTCTTGTATTGGATTGTTTTCAATAAAATCTTTCTTTAGCTTAAAGTCATATAGATCCTTCATTCCATCATCATAATTAATGTTTAAATCAAGTCATTTCATTAAATATGTAAATTGCCTCTTTGATATTTTGACATCGATTGGACTGAACTCAAGATCTAGTCATAATGATTTGTTTAAAGCAAGAGGATCAATATACTCAAGAGTATCTGATTGTAATAGCTGTTTGAAATTTACAAAGAAGAATTTTCAAGACCCAATTTCCCCATCTCAGTGGTATAAAGTTGTCTCTTCAATTCCTATCTGAAAGGAACATAACCTGACAGTTTTGTAAGGATCCATATGCCATTTTCCCTTTTCAGTGATCATCTCAGAAGTGACGTGTATATTACCTAAAAAGATGCTAAATTCTTCTTTATAGTGATTTCTTGCACGTAAGATGATTCAAGGATTTTTGACTTCAACATGGAGATCAATGATTTCATCCTCTTGTTTGAGATCAAAATCGCTGACTTGTTGTGAGTCATTGAACTTGATTAATTTTTCATCAATATTCTCCTTAACTAAGTCTTCTTCGTAAGGATTTGTATCAGTTACGCTTTCAAGAAATCTGTCGAAAAAGTAATCCTTAAACCTCATGAGGTAGTCAAACTGTAGGACGTAGTTGATAGATGCAACATAGAGTTTGATTTTGCTCTTTCTCTTCTCTGGCTTCTTTGGACACAGATCTGTGAAAAATTGTCATTCAAATGATAATGTATTCTTCTCCTCTGAGTTTCTTAGACCAATAATTTCAAATTTCTCTGCTTTCTCACTCATAGTTTTAGCATCCCTTGGATCTAAAGTGTAAGGATAATTGGTAAGATCATATAGCCGGATTCCTCCGAGAGATCCTTTAAGTTCATCATAGTCAACATACATGTCAAAGTCCATTTTGGTTTCTCCAATAGTTATCTTTGCGAAAGGAGTTGCATAAAGATGGTGAAGAAAGTCTCCCTCAACCTCTAATAGAGCAACTCTTACAATAATATAAGGGAAAGGAAACTTCTCTCAATTGTGAGAAGAGCCAACTGCCTTGCCATTCTTTATAAATTCATTAGCGATATCAGCAATATCTTCAGATTTGCAAGCTTGCTTAATAATCTGAGATTCTATTGCCTGAATTCTATCTTTGTAGCCAAGCTTTATCTTTTCTTCATCTCATTCGTAAATGTACTTGACTTTTCGGAATCTTCTTATAGCATTGTTGATAAAGGGAGGGTAGTAGTTCATTTTGAGGTATCCTACTTTTAAATCAACACGAATCTCATCTCCCTGAGGATTCTGAGGATTTTCATTGAGCTGGACATCGACTTCGAGGAAGTTATTGGAAGATGTCTGTGGCTTTTGACTTGTGAGAACGATATCCAAGTTTGGTATATCAGAATGATAATAGACTTGGCCACTTCCTGCTCCGAGATAAACCCCAACACCATCAACTGGTTTGTTAATTTTAAATTTGACGTCGTTTATATGTGCTGACATCCAGGAAGCTCCATCTGCTTCATACCACGTAGCCTTGAGTTTTGGACATTTAGCATCAAAATAAAACAACTTAGCATTAATTTCCTTCTGCTTTTGTTCAATTTCCTTCAGAGCAACTTCTTCTCGATTCTCTCCATCAGTATTTAGCTCAATAGTGATTTTCTGGATTTGTCATCTCCACTTATCCTTATCTTGCTTAGTATTAAAAGCCATTATGACTTCTCCAAATTTGCTTTTGATCTCTAAAGCATGTTTCTCTCCAACCTTATCAGAGATATCCAAAATGACTGCATCTTTGAGGAACATGTTGTCTTCTTCTAGCAAGTCGCTTGTCTCTCTGTAGAAATAAACATAATTTCCAGAGATGATGGCATATCTTTTGGCAAAAATTTTGATGTTTGACCCTCTCTTCTTTACTATGGAGATAAGCTTAGCCTTCTTCATAACTTTCTCTTTCTCAAGGATCATCCCTTGGACGATCTCTTCAGGGTCTTCGTAGGCGAAACATCTGTGGATGTTGACTACATGATTGTAGATTTCATCGTTAAGGTTGAATTTTACAGGAGAGATCTTGGCAATAATCTCTACTTCACCTCTTCCTACTGGTGTTGTGTGACCTGTGTTCACTGCAAGCTTACTTCCTATTTGGAATTCTTCAAGAAGAGTGAAGTGGTCATGATCGAGTTTTATATTCGAAGATTGGCTGGATAAAGAACCTCTACTACCAGAGTAATATAAGTTTTCACTATCTTTCAGAAGTTTTCTTTGATTTATAGCTTCTCGTTCAATCTCAGCCCAAGTTTCATAATTTTTATAGAATTTCATCATCATTGAGCTGATCCTAAATGTGTAACATTCATATTGGTCTTGTGGTGTCTCACTCTCTAGTACAAAATTACCAAGATTAATAGCCCACATTTCAGAGTTAGGATCATTCTTGATTAGTGGGATTAGAAGAATAGGACTATAAATTCATATTTTTATTTCTTTCCCTCCTGCTTTAATAGATTCTTGAATCTGTGCTCCGGCACCATCCTTGAAGTCTGCCCATTTTTCAGTAGCTTGTTCCTTTATTTGAAGATCAGTCTCATTTTTGAAAAATTTCACCAGAGTTTTGATAAAAGATCCTTCATAAATCATCTTTATTGGATTAATAGTGAGATTGAGAGAGTGCTCAATTTCACTTCCTACTGGGTTTTTGAGATAAGTCATTTCCCAGAATACTTCACTTTCATCCATTTTCTCAATAATCTCAAAATGCTGGTCTGAATCCATTTTAAGACCAAAGTTCCGTGTCTGTGCATCAAGGACCATCTGCTGATTTCCATATTGCTTTAGATTAAACCCGATATGGTGAAAATATAGGTCGATATCAACTGCATTATAGATCAAATTGAGGCCTCCTTTCTTTACTAGAACGCTTAGCTCTATATTTTTAATTTCTGAAGGATCCTTAATCTCTTCCTTATCTTCATTTTCAAGAAATTTATCTGTAAGTTTTTGATACATGTTATCAATCTCTTCTGAAGAAAGTACGTCATTCTTATTTTCTTCGTTTTTCTGTTTAAAAAATCCAAACCAGCCTGCTTCATTTTTCTGATGCTCTTCATCATCGATCCTCATCTTTGTGATGACAGTGACCCATCTCTCAAGATCAACTCGATCGACTGCAACAATAATATGATGGAGCATATCTTGATCGTAATCTTCATTATTTTAGATAGAGTTGGAATTGATTAATGAAGTTGACTTCGTACTCTCTCTTCTTAGATTTTGGGATTCTGAATTCATACATAGACCCTCTCTTCTCTCTTTGTTGTTTGATCACAGATTTTATGGCATATTTCCACCACATTACTGCATTCTCGTTCATTATTTCGGTGTCGTGCAAGACATTTTCTCGCTTAAAAGAGTTGATACCCCTGATTGGTCTGAGGAATTTAAACTTTTTGGTTGAATTACTAGATATGATTAGGAATTTCTTACGCAAGCATTTGGAATTTACTGTACTCTCCCACTACTTCTGCCAGTTTGCAGATGCTGTCGTATTGGTACTTCTGCAGCTTCACAGAGAAATTATCTACTTCAATATTAACACTGAATTTAGCATCCTCTTCATTCTTAATTTTTGAAATCTGTTTTAACTTCCCTTTGAGGCAGACTAAAAATTAGTCAGATAGGTCTTACTGGGCTCAATGATGTAATTATAATCCTCGATATGAGTGCTATCTATTGGGAATAAGACTTCCATGAAATCATGCATGTCACTTTGTTCATTTCATTCCTCAGATGCAAGTCCTTCTTCATTAGCTTCCCAATAGAATGCAAACTTTTCTATCAGAAGAAGTTTAAAAACGGGCATATCCTTGTTTTTATTATCTGTTCGGTCGTAATACTCGTACTCCCATTGTTGATTACAGGTTTGAGCAGAGAGCTCTTTTAAAGTAAACCCAAAGGAGTAAGGCCTGGAAGCATTTATGCTATCCTCAAATCTGATGTGGATATTCCTATGAATTTTAACATGCTTACATACTTTACGGTGATTTGAATATTGTCCAATATCTTTGTTGATAATTTACTGAAATATCCATTATCATCATCAGACTTTTCATTCTAAAGGGTAAGAAGTAGGGAGTACCTTGATTTTATCTTGGATTGATTCTCCAAATGTTACTAGTTTCCTGAGTTTATCTTCATAATTATTGAAGTCAATGATTTCCCATTCCTTATTTCATTTGAGGAGCTATACAGATTAAGTATGACGAAGTGTAAATTTACTTACTGATTATGAGATACAGAGACTCTAGTACAACTATAACAGGTTGTGAGGAGAGGCTTCTCCATGGTACTTTGACCTATAACATTAACCAATCAGAATTTTGCATCTTACCTGTAATTTCCCGACCTCTCCGTAGATAAGTTTAAATGGCAACTTGAATTCATCAAGCGCGTCTGACCTGACCTTAACATTCTGCAAGTTGATATCTCCTTTCCAGACCTATGGTACAATAAAATTGCTAAAATATACTCCAACGCTAAGACTCTCCTTGTTTAGCCCCTCAATGTACTTTCCAAGATAAGTATTGAGTAACTTTTCCAGGATTCCTTCAAACATTTTTCTTAAGTTTATTATTATTTAAAACAATCTGAGATTATCATTTTGGGGTTTTGGGGTTTTGGGGTTTTGGGGTTTTGGGG